AAAATGCATACCAAAATAATAATTAAAATAATTAAAATTGCTGAATATTTTGATTTCTGCAAAACACTGTTATAACAGCAAGCCTTTATTAGATGTTTTATTTTATTAAATGTTTTATATAATTGTATCTATTTTAGTTTTTTCAAATATGTTCATTTGGACATGCCAAACAAGACGTGTCAATAAACTCTTCGGTGATTGGCTTGTGTGACAACGTGTCATGCAAATTTTCGGCTCGAGTTGAAATTTTTCAACTTGTGCAGAAGATGCGATTGAGGCATATATCGCGTGTCCGTGGCAAATGCATCACCCAATTTGTCACCCGAATTTGCGTCTATGCGTGTCTATGCATTAACTTTGTATGTAATCTACTCGCACAAGTAATTAAATTTGCTTTTGGTGCGCACACACACTAAGAATAGTTAAAAATGTTTTTTTTTTCTTAAATTGTAATTTATATATTATATACATCAATATATATATATATATATATATATATATTTATATAATTGTATCTATTTTAGTTTTTTCAAATATGTTCATTTACATATATTATTATTAGTGCTGTCAAAATTAGCACGTTAACGCAGGCGATTAATTTTTTCAGTTTAACGCGTTAAAAATATTTAACACAATTAACGCAGGGGAGGGGCTAGGGTTGGCCAACCCACTCACAACTGCTGTTTCTGTCTCATTTTTTTGACAAGAACCGTCGTTTATTTAAACGCAGAACATCTTTATGACCACACCTAACCTGAGACATTTCAAACGCGTGCTCCAACTTCACCTCAGCGCCAGGCGCAAGACAAACGAGCGTGGAAATGCTCCAGCGTGCGCTGTAGCCTGTGATACTGGCCTTCAGTCATAAAAAAAAAAGATGCCATTACACAAATATTAAAAATAAACTGTCTTTATGTTGTTTCTACAAGAATTTGAAAATTGAATGTGAAATTGCAATGTAAAAGTATTTTAAAAAACTATAATATTAGATGGGATTATTCGCGATTAATTTAAATTTTTTTTTTGATTAATTAGTTATTTTTTAATCGATTGACAGCACTAATTATTATATATTTATGTAGTAACAGTAAAATCAAATTTACGAGCATTTTGAGTTCTGCAAAACATTCATATCAGCGAACATTTATAAGAACAGCACATTTTAATGAAAAATAATGCTTCATTTTAAGAATAAAATCATCTAAATATGGTAACATTATCTTTTTAATCGCTTCATCTGATTCATTCAAAAGTGACAATGAATCACCCAACACTTATCCTATTTGTCTACTACCTGACCTAAAATTTTGTCACTTTATGCCTCCCAACTTCCTTCAGCATGTCTTATAGAATGTTTTAGAAGTAGACAGAGTGTGGAAATGAACTTTCTGCTTTTATCAACCTTTTCAAGTTGACCCTTGAGAAGTGCAGCCTTTTGATTGACTTGTATCTCCTTTCAGGTCGCCTATTCAAAAGACGGAAAAGAAGAGAAAAAGGAAGAAAGAAAGCATACAAAATAGTACTGTTCCCCTTGACCTTCAGCTTTATGGGTGAATGTACTAACGATACACCGTAACATAATGAAAGAGATGAAGTAGTGAAAGAGGAAAACGACTTCAGAATTTAAATTTAGTCAAAACTCCATTCTTTTCCATAAGCACTTGTCCTTTCCTGCTTTTCTTTTGCTTATAGCATGTTCTTGTTTTCGTAATTGGCGGATTGAAACCATTGCCTCAAAGGATGAAAAGACACGAACTGATCAAAAGTGAATGTAAACGCTTTTTCTCACACTCGAGAATTACTTGACCTTGAATTGAAGAGACACAACAATCAGTTATATACAATCAGGACATACAGCAGCATTTATTGTGGGCTCGGCCCTATTTGTTACGACACAAGGCCTTTAACAGTTGGGCTCATATGCGTATGAGAGGCGCTCTTCCTTTTGGTTACAATATACATACGTTTCTTCATAGCACTTAGTCGTGTGGCTGGCTGACTGGTTTAAAAAATTGCTCCGCATTAAAAACAAATATTCAATCATGGCCCGCATCACAACCGATTACGGTGAGAGTCCGGGCGAGTCTCGTCAAGATGATTAGTTGCATCACTTATATGCACGGGACGGCCCCTTCTGCATATGCATATGGTCTGCACGTGCGACGCCCGCTAAAACTGCCATTTCATTCCTCTCAGAGCAAATTCACCTTGAGTAATGGGCTGGATAATACCAGCTGCCAATCAAAATGAATTAGTGCATGTGTCTGATTCTGCTCTTTGATTGGCCATGTCATGTTTCATACGGTTTTTGACCGAGAAAAGCTAAGCTAGGAAAAAAGGACACATGATAGTGTCAAAATTAAATTAATAATTTTTAAGTACACTTTTTATTTTAATATGATTTTAAATTAATTTTAATAATTTAATCAATGGAGAAAATATGGAGTATCAAAGTAAATATGGAATGTAAATTTACTTTAAAAAAATAATAAAAAATAATAATGCTTATAATATATAATACCAATATAAATATGGAGTACCAATATACTAAAGTAAATTGGGAGTATAAATGAAGTATTAATTTCAATAACTATTTTAATTAGTTAACTAAATATGGAGTATCAATACAATAAAGTAAATATGGAGTATTCATTTCATTAAATTAATGAAAGTATTAATTTAATTTATTTTATTTTGAGTATCAATATTGTAAATACAGAGTATAAATTAACCTATAAATTAACCTTTAATTACTTTTATTTTATTTATTATTTAATTAAATATGGAGTATCAATATAATAAAGTCGATATGTAGTACATTTAATACTTTATTAATTTAATTAAATTTAAATACTTTTATTTTAATTATTAAATTAAATACAGAATGCCTATACATTATAGGTTGGCCAGCTGTGTAATAATAATATGATTTTACATATTTTTCACAAAATAACTTCCTTCATTCGCTACCTTCTGTCTTCGCGAAATCTCTCACTTGTGTGAACTCCCTTTGAGATTACTACGATTAAGTCTTGAAATGCCGGGGTCAGAGAAGGCGATTGGATCCATCGTTTTTCTGTGTCTGGAGAACGTTACAACCCCAGAACAGGCCTGTCATCTTAGAGTTCACCCTCTTTGCCAATCACTACTTTTGCTCTCGGCATAATTTAGCACAGATTTTTAAAGCTCTGCTTTATATAAACACATTGGCATTTGAAAATACACACACGTATATGCACAAACCCAAATATACAAGTACATCATCTGAGCTGGCCAATCAACCTTTATAAGCATGCTTCGGTTTTTTGGGGTTGATCAATAAATAAGCCAACGACTCACTTGTTTTGTTGTAACTCTGGGAGATGTTGTCGCTGTGGGTCGATGAGCTGCTGGAGTAGGTGACTGTTTGCCCGTCCAAAACACCTGGTACTGGAGAGCTGCCCGGCCGAGAACTGCCCACTGAACTGGAGGGCCTGGAACTGGCACAGTTCTGACAAAAAAGGACAATGCATTCTACTATCAATATAGTGTGGGGTACAGTCTGAGATCATTAGTGAAAATATTTCTGTTTTGCATTTTTCTATTTAATATATAATATATACTGTCAAATAGATATTTTTGTGCATTAGATTTGGTATGGATATGAAGAAATATGGAGGAAAAACAACAAAAACTAATGTTAAATATCAAATGTCATATTTGAGACCCAAGTAGTTATGCATTACATGATACATGACCAAAAAGTACACAGTCATGTATGGAGGTACCACAAAATAAAAATCCACAGAAGTCTCACAGGAATGTAAACTAGATCTGACATAAAAACCCACAACCTTACCCTTCGTATCACAGAATAACATATAATAGGCTTTAACATGCAGCCCTGGTTAAGATGGCGTCTGAAGACGTTTATTTCTTTTCAGAAAGAAGTAAATGCATAACCTAGCACTATATCAACATTTAAAATCATAAGAGTGCACATTTTACAACAGGAAATTCACATATATGTAGTATACATCTCTCTCTTTTTAGTCATATCTTGTCAAAACTTGAATTAGGATTAAAAAAATTAATCTGCTTCCAATTTATATCTATATTTCAAGGCTGTCAGTGATCTAGACACTGCTAGTATCGCAACACGTTCATTTTTCATTTGGCCGGTGCAACTGACAGCTTTATTTTTCTCAAGCAATCTGCCACAGTATGTACAAGTGTGAGGTCACACGGGTCAGCCGACAGTTAGTATGAAGTGCCCTGGCAGCACTGGTCTGGCTCATGAATAAACAAGAACGGCAAGAACGGAAACTATAGAGAGAAGGAGAGAGATGTTTAATAAGCCGCTACATATGTTCAGCAAATGGGACTTTAATATCATGCTGTATATTCATTATCTGCCATTTACAGTAACTACATTCATGGAGACTGGAGTAGTAAAAAATCCTTGAGAAATCATCTGTATAATTACTTGACTCAATGCATCATCATTTAAATTCACTGAATAACAGTCTAGAGAAAATAGATACAGATAATTACATGCCTGATTTAAAACTAAAGTGTAATATCCTTACCACTAGCTTCAAAAATATGAATTCAGAGAGAAAAAAATACTAAATTTGTTGAGACAGACTCATTGATAGATACATAGGCAGAAAGACAGACAGACAGAAAGATAGACAGATTAACTGAGATAGATTAATTAAGATAGGCAGACAGAATGGCAAAGACAGAGCAACAGACAAGTAGACAGACAGACAAAACAACAGACAAGCAGACAGACAGTCAAAACAACAGACAAGCAGACAGACAGAACGGCAAACAGACAGACCAACAGACAAGCAGACAGACAGACAAAACAACAGACAAACAGACAGACAGAACGGAAAACAGACAGAACAGCAGACAAGCATACAGACAGACAAAACAACAGACAAGCAGACAGACAGAACGGCAAACAGACAGACCAACAGACAAGCAGACAGACAGACAAAACAGACAAGCAGACAGACAGAACGGAAAACAGACAGAACAGCAGACAGACAGAACGGAAAACAGACAGAACAGCAGACAGACAAAACAACAGACAGACCAACAGACAAGCAGACAGAGGGACAAAACAACAGACAAGCAGACAGACAGAACGGCAAACAGACAGACCAACAGACAGACAAGCAGACAGACAGACAAGCAAGCAGACAGAATGGCAAACAGACAGAACAGCAGCCAGCCAGACAAGCAGACTGACAGACAAAACAACATACAGACCAACAGACAAGCAGACAAAACAACAGACAAGCAAACTGACAAACAGAATGACAAACTGACAGAACAAGACAGAACAACAGACAGACAGAATGGCAAACAGACAGAACAACATACAGTAGGTGGTTGCCTGGTCACAGTGTTGCTAGAGTGCTCAGAGTGGTTACTAGGCTGTTACTAGGCCAGTGTAAGGTGCTCTATGGGCGGCTGCTAGAGCATTCTAAGTGGTTTCTATGGTGGTCTCAGATGGGTAGACAGTTACAAAAATAAACATCAGTTTACTCTACGATGAGTTAGAAAATCGTAAGGGTTCCCCTCAGGCAAAAACCCATCCATCTACAGCACGTCCTGTACGTTATCAATACTATATTGGAAGTCAGTACATTCCCTGACCACTGCTCTCATCCAATAAAGAAGAGTACATTTTCCTATCCCATTCTGGACCCCGTCCAGCACCGAAGCTATTCGGCGAGATACAGTATATCACCTCTAGATTTATGGCGCAAAATGGCATTAGCTAAAAAACCATCCGCCACACGCGGCCAGCGAATCTCATCGCGTGGACTTCGAAAATTGCCCAGAGAGCGCTCAAGGGTCCCACTGCTAATACGACCCGCCACGATTTATCAGCTGCTACCTGGCACTCGCGTTTGGGGCCGCAGTCGTTTTTTACAAGTCTCAGTCTTAACAGTGTCGGGCCTGTCAGGGGGGTCAAAGGGAAGAGGGAGGGGGCCATATTCTAAAATCAATCCACCTTTAGAAATTGTCTCATTCCATTCTCAATGACCTGGTGGCGCGGCAAAGGCCGAGCGGGACAAACTGCCGTAGGCCATAAATCGTGACAAGCCCGGAGGAGAGTTAATGTGGCGGCAAACAGACAGACCAACAGACAAGCAGACAGACAGACAAAACAACAGACAAACAGACAGACAGAACGGAAAACAGACAGAACAGCAGACAAGCATACAGACAGACAAAACAACAGACAAGCAGACAGAACGGAAAACAGACAGAACAGCAGACAAGCAAACAGACAGACAAACCAACAGACAAGCAGACAGACGTTTGGGGCCGCAGTCGTTTTTTACAAGTCTCAGTCTTAACAGTGTCGGGCCTGTCAGGGGGGTCAAAGGGAAGAGGGAGGGGGCCATATTCTAAAATCAATCCACCTTTAGAAATTGTCTCATTCCATTCTCAATGACCTGGTGGCGCGGCAAAGGCCGAGCGGGACAAACTGCCGTAGGCCATAAATCGTGACAAGCCCGGAGGAGAGTTAATGTGGCCATTCATAGAGGAACCGCTGGAGGTGAGGTGCTTCGCTGAAGGGGGGGTGTCTATTAACTACTTTTAAACCGCTTTGGTGAAGCTAAGTGATCTCCGTCAACAGCAGCCTCGCGTATAAATACTGGCCTGACAGTTTAATGTGAAGGGACGAGCTTCCACAGGATTAGAAACATGTAACCCAGGGCTGCTGCTTGACATTGGCTGGATTGAGGTGGCCTGAGTGGGTGTGTGAAATGGGACCAAGGGCAAAACATGCACTGCGTTATGAAATTTGCACGATATAAAGAGTAGAGTCCTCCAGTAGTTGAGAAAACATGCAAACATGCAAGAACTTACGGAGAAATTTAAGGCTTTTCTTCTTTCTTTGATTCTGTTGAATGTGTTTCGAACCTGTGGATAACAAGGCGGGGGTGCATGGTTAAAATGTCAATGACTCGGTACTAAACACTTCATACAAAACACTTTGTGCTCGCATGAGTCTTGGCCCCAGGAAGGTGAAATTCAATCCGGACTGGGAATAGAGAAAGCAAACAGCCGGCATTGCATAAAAGTCAATGAGTGCCGGCAAGCAAAATGTTCCAGTTTGTCACACGTAATGGGTCCTGAAAGTGACATGTAGAGTCGGCAAAGTAAGGAGAGCGTCTTAACCTCTCATCCGTCACACCATACAGGGGGCTGCGGGAATAAAGCGATAAAGGAAACGACCACCCTTGCAGAACAAATTACATTTAGACTGTGTGAGAAAACGGGGATGTTGGGTGATACATGTTGAATGACATACACAGTACTATAAACTCATGCTGTTTTATTTTAGTGGCGTGAGCCGATAACTCGTAAATATGCATCAAATTTAAAGCCTTTATTTCTAGCAGTAAGTTTATGTCACAGCAATGCCAATTTACTAAGCCTGAAATGTCATTTTTTAATGACAAAAAATATATAAAAGAAAAATTCACTGCTAAAAATCATATTAATTTGTTATTTAAAAAAATGCAATAAATAAATATATATATATTTAAATTCTGAGAAGTTTTCTAAAAGAAACATTGCAAATTTATTACATTAACATGCAATATGCTAAATGTATGAATAAAGTTATATAAACATTATTCATACACTTTTTATGCACTTTATACACTTTATGCATTTTTTACAGTAATAACAATATACCAAAACTTTCTACATTATAAATATAACTATTACATTATTCAAATATTATATATTCATATTTACATTTATTTTAACAAAAATTATATAAAATGTTACATGTAAAATATACATTACACTATATTACACTTTTTTTTTGCAACTATAAATAATTGTGTGTGTGTGTGTGTTTATATCTATATTTTCTGTATGTCAGTATTCCCCACATCATACAGTCCAATCCAGTTGTTTCCTGGCCTGCTAGTTATTATTTTCCAGCTTGGCTGTGAGTGAACACAAAAAAACCCGCCTGCATTTCCCAGCACAAGCTCCAGCCCTTCACTGGTGAATATGCATTAGCTCTTATGACTTCATTAGGCTCTGCTGTTGTCATAAATTATTGCTGCCATGCAGATATACACACACTAGCATGTTCTGAACAAACACCATCAGCATGACGACAGAGTTAATGAAGAGAATAGAAAAGCTCTGACAGCTCGGAGTCAACAGTAATGCGTCAGATTTGCAAACAGACACTCTTTTCTCCCTCTCCCACACTTTGAGTGCACTGTACCTTTAATGAATGGAACTGGAAAATCAAATCAATTTATTCCAGGTAAAAATCACAGAAAGCTACTAGAAAAAGAGCATTTCCAGCATCGAAAGGAACTGGTTTAAAGTTGCTGCTCTTAAAAGCAGTTTAGCTGTTTTCCTCTCAAGGTTTTAAAGTGATGTAGCCCTAATGTTCAATATAAAAATACATTAGATACTATTTCCATATGAAAGCAATGCAAATGGACACATTTGCCAAAGGAAAAAAAAGGTCATAAAAACAAGGATGACCATTATTAAGTAAAAACAGACTAAATTATATAACGATTTTTTTATGCTCAGTTTTAATATGTTCTTGGGGTGAAATGATCTACTGTATATAAAAGAAAAAATTAAAAAGGGAAATTATCATCAAGTGAATTGCAATTATCTGCTACTCGAAGCAAGAGATCACAATATAGGCATTATTAATATTTCACTATTACAAGTATTCTCATGTTCAACAAGTAACTATACATAATTTCGCATCAGATAAAGCAAACAAACAGATTTATATGGTATCTAAAGTATTTGACTGCAAAATATTCCCATGTCTTAACTAATGGCTGGTGCACATTGGGACTAAATGGCATGCTATGTGAATCTGATCTCTCTCTCTCTCAAATGGCTGGTTTTACATATTCTCACTCACACGTTTCCTTTGAGATAATCAACTGTACAGATGTGTGACTTTTTTTTACTTTGTATACTAACACTTTGATCATTCTCCTCAATTATTCTATTAAACGAGAATTTGTGGTGTCAGACGGTGAAACTTAATCAGCTGTTGTTTCTTGTCACATTTGACGACACAAAAGGAACAAGGTGGATTCGCGAAAAAAAGAAAAACTACGATTATTACATTTGATATTTAACAAAACCCCCTTTTGAAAAAAAGTGTAAAGCAGACACGAGCTGCTCACAAATTGTGAAGACCTCTGGGTCAAGGAGAGCCGGGGGTTGGAAAATAGATTCCGACGTACTAAAAAAGCCTGTTAAGCAAGAATGCGGCGATGATTTATTTTACAATGCGGAGAGGGTCACCGGCGAGTCTCTGCTGTGTCAATACAGGGCTCGGTCTAAGGGCCATCTCCTTACACCTCTTTTGTAGACACTGAAAAGGTAGAAGCAAAGGTAGAGAAGCAGGGGAGCTCCATCTATACTCAGGGGTGGAGATGAAGAAGAGAGAGGAGGAAATTAAGAAGCGCTGGTCTGTGGCCTGCTGACTGCACTTATCCATGCACTCAAATTTGGTCTGTTATTTTTGATATATTACTCTGACATTTAAAATGATAATTCTTAAAATAATGTTAATTAATTAAATGAATATTATTGTTTATTTAATATTTAATTTATTAATTTGTTTAGTAATAAATAAATAAATAAATGATCATGCTTAAAGGAATTTTTCTACAATCAGAACAATTCAAGCTTGATGTACCACCTTTATGTTTTTCCAAGTCCACAATCAGTGCAGCCCACCTGCTACAACAGGCAACACAAACTACACCTGATGAGAGCGGAGAGTACAAAACAAGTGACAAGTTGTTCACATAGAACCCATTATGGCATTCACATTCAAAAAAATTGTAAACTGCTAAATGTATTATTATTATTAAAACTAATATTTATAATACATATTTATTTAAACAAATATTCTTTATTTATTTATTTTAACATGCAATATTGTTATTGTTAATTAGGGCTGGGCGGTATATCGAGTTTGTACGATATACTGATATTTTCTTTATAAGCGATTTGATATGAGGCAATACCGTTTATATGGATATACAGTAGTTTGATACCAGCGCATCTGAAAATATACCGGAGGACACAGACTGAGCTGCTGCGGAGAAAGTGCATAATCCAGTTTGTTCTAAACATGTGACAAGCTTCATATTAAGGCCTTTAAAAACTGGTAAGACAGTTTATAGTTTCGTTTGGCATATTAGATTAAGCGGCTCGGCCCATCAGATGCTCTGTCAGAAAGGCTGCGTGTACCGCTGACAGAGACACTAGGCCACTCGCGCTGTTTAATGTGTTTGAGATGTGCTGTCTTCCTGAATGCATAACTTACATTTCACAGGTATATTCTCCATCTGTAAATGTTAGAAAGCCATGGAAATATTTCAATTTTTCTGTCAGAAGTGCATCAGCCTTCTGCTTTGGGATTCTCCGCTAAAATTCAGTGAACGAGCGCCGCCGCGCGCATGCGTGCCAAACAGACAGAGCGCAATTAAATAGGAGCGCAATAATTCTGACTAAAATATGCATTTCGCTGAAATATTTGTAGTTGGACAATAAATACGACATGTAGAATTGTAAACCTACAAGTAAGTCTGTTTTTATGATAGCACTGAGTGTAAAGTGACAGTAATGGGGTAATTAAAATAGCCTAACACAACTCTGTGCTTTTGCACATTTTCAAAAATGAAAATACCGAGATATATACCGTATATCGCAAATCGGCCAAAAAATACAGAGATATGAATTTTTGCCCATATCGCCCAGCCCTATTGTTAATCATATTATTATTATTATTATTATTGAAATAATTAGTAGATATTTATCTAAATTAATATTTCTATATTTATGTAAACCATTATTATTATTGTTGTTGTTTTTACTACTATTATTATTATTATTATTGAAATAATTAGCACAATTAATATTTATCTCAATGAATATTTATATATTTATTTAAACTATTATTATTATTACTACTACTACTGAAAACAATATTTAAATTAAGATGTATTTATTTTATATAAATGTTATTGCTATTAACATGATTGTTATTATCTTTGTTATTATTATCTATATGCAAATATGTATCTATATACAAATTAATATTTGTATATTTAAACAAATATTTAGTAGTAATAATAATAATAATAAATAACAATATTTTTACAACAAAAAAATGTAACAATAATTTTAAATAATACAATATTACAATTTAAAAGTTTATTTAAATGTGTACTTATTTATTAGTTTTAACATACTTATTAACGTACATATTTATATATGCATTAATATGAATAATAATAATAGTGGAAAAATTAGGCAGGCAGACAGACAGACAGACAGACAGACAGATAGATAGATAGATAGATAGATAGATAGATAGATAAGGGCCTTTCGCACCGCTTTAGTTCCAGAACTAAATGTACAGTACTAAAGTACTGGGACGATTTTGCGCGAACTATTTCCCAGTACTATTTAAAGGGTTGCATTCGCACCGACAGTGTGTACTAAGAAGTGACGTAAGCCGGTCGACAGCGACGTTATTTGTGCGCGGCGTTCAACAACGAAAACAAAGAAAAACAACATTAACAACAGGAGGATGGAGGACGCTGTGATCGGAGCTGTGTTTTTGTTGTGTCTCGCGGGTTTCACAATAATGGACATGGAATGTCGACGTATACGTAAAGCGATTGAAAGAACGGAAAGGAGGACTAAGAATCTCCGACGACAACTGGCAGTGCTACATTTGCTACAAGTGCCTGCACTTCAGCGTCCGTCCATCTATCGCTGTTCTCCATACTTGCGAAATAAGTTGACACAATGTTTACAGTATGTTTACACAA